ATATATACATATATATATATGTATATATATATATATAGTAGATGAGAATTTCTACTCAAGATACCAAAAAGTAGTGACTACAAGCTATTGCAGAAACTTATCTCCAACAGCTAGTTGATTTATTCTTGCTGAATCAATTTTATCCCTTCAGATTTGGAACTTGAGGATTGGACTGGCAACTTTTCTTTTGTATTACTAGACATCCTCCTTTGTAATGTCACAGATATTTATGAAAAAGTATCATATCACTTCAGCTCCATGGGTAGGTGTGTAACTTTGTCACTTCACAGAGACAAATGTAATACTAGAGACTAACAAAAACACTACCTTGTGGTATGATGAAGGGTAATTAGTTCTTCAGTTGCCTGGAGTATAAGAACAGGAGCTAGGGTGGACATGGAAGTTTCCAGGAAATAAGAGTTACTATACTCAGCCACATGAGACTTGTGATAGTCTAAAAGAGGTCCACACTATTCTTATATCCAAAACAGATATTTGGGAACAGCTTGTCAAAGATAATGTAAATCCACAGTCATAGATCACAGTACAGAACCTCAGCTGATCCTGGCAGAATGGATGAAAGAAAAAAAATTAAAGACTTTTTCAAGACAGGTGTAGAGAAAATGCTTTACTCTTGGCCTATTCATAAGAGTCTGAAGTAATACTGTGTAATACTAACTCTGGGTAGATTTTCATTGTCCTATCCCAATTGGGGGAAGAAAGTAATGTTCCTAATGAAATTGGCACTCTCTCTGATGGTGCCCTTGAAGACTGTTCTTCCTTCCAGTAAGACTTTGTGTATGATTGTGATTCTTTCTCTTCAGCTCCAAATTTTAGAGCATCCTCCTTGTGCTTTATGTCTGTATTGAATTTATTGGGGATCCAAGTAGCTTTGCAGGTGGGATAGACAATAGGACCTTCCTGTCCCAGTTCACAGGGTCAATCCTCTGGTTCTCATCATTTAGCTCACATAAGTTCATGATGTAAGAATCTCTGTCATTTCTAGATATTTTCACAGTTGATCAGATAGCTGGATATGCCAAAAGGTTTCTGCCACTCTCAAATTGCAGAGCTCAGAAAGCTCATCATCATCATTCTTACCAGCAGTTAGAATTTGAAGTGATCCTCCAAAACCTCCTGCTTTTCAGTAGGTCATCGTGGTGACTCTGCATGCCATGGGAAAGTGATTCACTGTTATCTGCCCATCTCCAAGTGGTTTTACCACTTCTATGGACAATTAATAGAGATCACCTGAACACTTCACGGTGCCTGGCACCACTCTTCCTATCAAGAATGACCTAGGCTTATTTTGGATTTTTCTTTTTCTGACTTTTCTTTATTTGCTTCCTTTTCTTCTGTCACCATCACACTTTCATTGTAGACCCTTTCACATATGCATTTAAGCACAACTATTCATTCAAGAACCTATCGCTTCATATCTTAAAGCATAGGACCATGTACAAAGCAAATAGTTTTCAGAAAACTGACTAGCTGTAAATGCTACATATAAAATAATGTATAAGGAGGTTAATATTTTGGGAAGAAACTTAAGATTTATATTTTCAGTTTTGCTTTACTATCTTTATTATTAAAAATTGTATTTTTAAATAAGATGTACTTATAATATTCAATGATATTGGGCTGGGGTTATGGTTCAGTGGTAGAGCACTTGCCTAGCATGTGTGAGGCACTGGGTTCAATTTTCAGCACCACATATAAATCAATTAATCAATCAATCAATAAAGGTCCATTAGCAACTTAAAAAAATATTTTTAAAAATATTCAATGATTCTAATTTTTTTGGAATATAAAATTTAATATCCTGTAAATGATAAATGTCCCTTTGTCCATAATCCTAAAATGTCATCTGTTGGGATGTACTATTTTGAATTCATAATAACCACATTTTATATTGTGGCTTATTTTCATCATGCCACGTAACATGCACTATTTTTTGAGTCTGTTCTTTCAAAGGATCTTCATTCTTGTTAGTTTTCAAGGATTTCCAGGTTCATAGGAGCTGAGTTTTACTATAAATTTTATGACTCTAAAACCATTAGAAGAACATCAATGCTACTTTAAATTGGTTTTCTGGAGAAAATGTAATATGTTTGATGAATTAAAATAAAAAGATGAAAGCATAACAGCATATTGGATTACTTGTTAATTTTTCTTTCTCAAATGTTTTATATTGAAGAGGATTGATTTGTGAAGTACATTTTCAAGCCAATTTCACCTTTGTTTCTAGAAAAACTACATTTTGTCCTAGAATGCTATTGACATTTCATCAGAGGAAATAGATTCAGAATTGCTGCCCAGTAAAATCTATCTTAGCAATAGTTCTCTATCTTTCAGCAAAGACAATGCAATTGACCTTGGGTCAGAGGATAAAAAGCTGCCATTATGAAGTGACAGAATAACTGGTTGTCTTTCTCTGCTAAGTTCTTTTGCCATCACAGAGTTCTTTGAGTCATGCCTTCATATAGAAGAGGAACAAATCCAATAACTACAAAAACCTGAATTATATAACTGCTTTATCTTTCTCAATTTAAATGGATAGGTTTATCAAAAATAAAAATAGAACATCAAACACATTCAGAGATCATAAACATGAATGAAATGGGAGTTAAAAGTGTATTGCCATCTAAAAACATCACAAGTCATTTTCATATAGCCAAAATTGTTTATCTTTGTGCCTTGCCTCATTTAAGCCTGCAAAGATAGAATCTATTTTTTTGCAATCCAATTAATAGAATAAGACCATTAATTTTCTCTTTCTCAATAATTATTTGAAATAAACTTCTTATATAGAAAACATTTGACGTCAAGTAATCATTTAATTCCTTTAACAAGGTTAAACCTATTGTTTGAAATGCAATTATTTCCATCATTATATTATATTAAATGATAAGGATCATGCAACTATCCTGAAAGTTCTTTTAAAGGAGTTCTCCTGGTCCTCATTTCTACTCAGTCTTTGATCAGTTATTTCTCTGAATCTTTTCTCTTCATTCATTATACTGGGGGAATTTATTCTCCACAAGAGCCTTCTAGTTGATATACAATTATTTATTTTGTTGTTATCATTAAAAGTAATTTCCATTGAAAGCATAAAACTTTATATAAATTTGAAAAATTATATCACCATGAATAACCATGTAAAAAATTCTCTAAAATCAATTGCTATGGTTTGGATATGAGGTGGCCCCTAAAAACTCCTGTGTTAATGGGGGAGATTAAATGATTATATTATGAATGCTGAATTATGAATTCACCTAATGGATGAATTAATTCATTTGTTGGATCAATAATCTGAATGGATTACTGGATGGTAACTGTAGGCAGGTGGAGCATAACTGGAGGAAATAGATGTGGGGGAGGTTGCCTTGAAGATGATATACTTGGTCCCTAGCTCCTTGCACTCTCTCTGCTTCCTGGCTGCCATACATTGAGCAATTTTGCTCTACTATGCCATTCTATGCAAATGTTTAGCTTCACCTCAGACCCAGAACAATGAAGCTGAGGTTCATGGACAGTACCTTTGAAACCTTGAGCCAAAATACTCTTTTCCTCTTCTAATTTGCTTTTGTCTGTATTTTTGTCACAGCAATGAAAAGCTGAATATGAAAGAATAAATATCAATATTTAATTTATTAAATTGTTACACATCAGAGACTCCACTGATGCTTGTAGACAGCAGTTAGAGGTGGAAGCATTTTAAAACTATACCTGTGTCTTTTCTCTTCAATGAGATGGCTTAGTATATTGTGGGTAGGCAGAAAAATAGTGATCCAGAATGCCCACATCCTATTCTGAGCAAATGCATTATCTTATATGTTGAAAGACCTTGCAGATGTAACTTAAGGCTCTAGAGATGTGGAGATATCATGGGACTTTGATAAACAAGTGTCCTTATAAGGGAATGAGAGAAGCAGCAGTGTCAGATGAGAAAGGGGTAATTGCTACAGTGATGTCATTAAATAAGTGATAGAGTTTGAGATCTGTAGCACAAGTAAGAAATAGCTTAAAACATCTTTCCAAAAATTACAAGACAAGAAAGATCCAGTTGAGTATATTTAGAGATAGGTATATGCAATTGTGGAAAATTTTCTACATTTATTTTGGTTCCTAAATGAAATAGTGAAAAGGGTGAGCTGAGACAAAAACAAAGAGCTCTTGGAGGTGAGCAGAGAAAGTTTGAAATAGCCATCAAGAAAGTATTTAAAAGAGAGAAGCAGAGAGACGGTTTTGTTTCACAAAACCAAAGATCACATGATATTAGGACATGTCTTCAAAGCCATCTCATTCATCACCTGTATATGAAAAAAGTAAGTGTAAAGTTGGAGTTTTCCAACGGTGGACTTTTTGGTAAATGTATAGTAGAGGAAATGGGAATTGAAGATACTAGAACATAAGATCTCTATGTAATTCTTTGAAGAGAGTTCAAATACTAGTAGAAGTCTTCAAAAAAAAATTCTGCTTGCTCCTCTATAGTCTAAATTCAACACAAAAACTAAAACCATCCTTTTAAAATTTAGTTCATATCATTTCATACCTTGTTTTAAAAGGCTCACTATAAAACTTCTATCTGATCACCATAGTTTCCCATCTTTTCTAACCAACTGACAATGGCTTCCTGCTCATATTAAACTTGCTATGTGCATTCTTGTAACTTGAGACATTTCCCTATTTGCATGAGCCATTCCCATGACAGTGAACAACCTTCTGAGAAGTCTTTTCTTTGCTAACTAGACACATTTTTCCATTCTCTGCTCAAATCTCGTATTTTTAATGAGGCCTGCCCCAACCACTCTGTGTAACTCCGCATCTTATCACTCAGCCACTCTCAGGATTCCACATCTCTCTTGCCTCTCTACCTTTTATTTCACTTTTTTGTATGTTACATAATGAACTGTTATATTAGAGAAACTTTTTAGTGCCTTCTAAAATGTCAATCCCAGAAATAAGGGGCCTTACTCTCTTTTATTTACTTATATAGCTGAAGTGTATACGTGTATAAATCATTATGTGGCCTACAAACTTCACTCCATAAACCCCCCAAATTTTTTGCATTCAAGAGTACTATTGGTATTTTTTTTCTCATTTACTCTGTTCCCTCCCACACACTCATCCTTGAAGCCATCCTATTGGGGATCTGTTATTCTGATATCCCCTAATGGGCCTACCTGCATCCAAAGACATATTCCCATTATGTAGACTCTTCTTCTAGGAATCCATCTTTCTGAAATAACCATTTTCTTTTGCAGTTCTTTTTCACCAAAGCTATCAGATATGAAGACCATATCCCATTGCATTTATGATCAGAGTTCTTGATGTTAATTTTCTTCATTTTTGTAATGCATTAATTTCACAATGTACAAAAAATGCATTTTGAAGCAGGAAGAACTAGGTAAGTGTAGTGCATAGCTATTATTATCTGTTGAGTAGTACAATACATAGCACAAAAGGGTTTGGGAAGAATTAAATGAGATAATCTTTACATTTTTTTTAACTTACTGTCAAGTGTTTGACATATATATATTTTTTCTTCTCTGTGAATTGTGACTGTAGTTAAGCCAAGTCTATATAATGTGGTTTGAACATTTAGCCTTTTCCATGGACACAAACTTCTTTCCATCCTCAGGGCCTTTGCAAATGGAATTTTCTCAGTCCTTAATTTCTCTCTTCCCAGGGCCTGCATGACCAGCATCTCCTTCCTGAGGTTCTGTTTTCAGCAGGAAGACTTCCCTTATCAGCTTGTTCACAGCAGCCTTGACTCTTACCCCTGTTATTCACATCAGTTCTGTATGTGTGTGTGTGTGTGTATGTGAGTGTGTGTATGTGTTTAACTATTCATCTAAAAAGCCAGATACATTATTAGGCTTTTTAGTCCAGGGACTGAAACTGTGAAACTTCCACAACAAGAAGAATCAAGGCTCTGTTCTCCTAGTATAATGCTTAGCACTGTTTTTTCTCACACGATGTATATTAGTGAAAAACAACAATTTCTACTTTAAAATGCTCATTTGTGTGTTTTTTCCTTTTGCTTTTTAAGAACATACTATTTGAATTATACAAGGGATTTAAGAAAGAAATCATATTTCTTTTGTCTTTAGGATATAAATATTTGTAATTTTTTTTGTCCATGCATTAATTTATGCTCTTCATAGGACTATGGTTAAAATGACATAAAATGGAATTAATGAAATGATACTTACATATCATCCGTTTAAAGTTTTCACTTTACCAAAAGTACAAAATTAAAATATAAATATATTTATCTGATGTCACACACTTCAGTGGCTTTACTGGAATGAAAATAACGCCTTAAGCAGAATAACAGACTGTCTTGCATCTGTGAATTTTCAAGTTTTGACCAATATCAGTGTGGCTTGAGGCTGTTGGACATCTGGTAAGTTTCACTCCTGAATCCTGGCATATATTTGTTTGCTATTTTTGGGGGGAAAAATAAATGTTTGTGATTTGTGACTAGGATGTCTATGAGAAAGTCATTTAGAATTTTTAAAACTCTTCATAGCTTTTAATCCTACTTTTTCTGTTACATTTATAGAAATAAAACTAGGAAACTTTTTAAAGCAATACCAAAATAGTAGCCAAGCATTTTGCAAACGATTTAGAAAAAAAAAATTAAATTGTCAAACTTTGTGTTTTATGTTGATAATTCTTCTTTTCTTATGACATTCAATTCTTACACTATATTACTTTTCAATTACCAGATGACTGAAAGAGTAAAACAAGGACTTGAGATTTAACTCCACTTTCACACACCGAGTAAGTAACCTTATTTTTTCTCTCCCTTAGTTATTGGTTTTATTTTTAACATCTAGGCTATGTCTTATGAAGCACTAGGTAGTCTCTTCCCTCAGGAAATTTACAATCCTGTTAATGACGAGCTCTATGGAGATATAAGGAGGAAGTCAATTCAATAAGTGATAGATGCCAGGAAAGCAGTTATCTCCAGATCTCTGAGGAGCTAAGAGGTTCAAATGACACAACCAGAGCCCTGAATAAACCTATTATTCATGCTCTCCTATGTCATGAGCCTGCCAGCTGAGGCATGAAAAATTTGCCTTAATGATAGTGTGCCCACACTTTCCAATTTACACCCATTGTCCAACTTAATTATTAATAACACCTCTTTTTACTCTCAAATAACTGGTTTAAATATTTTTGTTCTCCTATTTAATGCTCTCATGAGCATCAGGAAACAGAAAAAAAAAAAAAGAACTATGCCAAATTACTCTTTCATGCTGCCTTTTCCTACCAAGCATGAAATGTATACATCCTGTTTCCCTGCTCCAGCAGCTACCATCCAAGTATGGACATGGTTTAACTCAAGGTGCAAACTTCATTGAGGAACTCACTCCTTATGCATCAAAGGAAACCCTCCTTTATAAAAGATCAAGAGCTAGGCTTGTAATTTTATCCTTTATATAAATATGACCTTTGAATGAAATTTTTTAAAATATTTGATTATAAATCTTGAAATGGTTCCTTTAAGCTACAACTCTTGCCATTCTGTTGACATACACTTGCATTGACAGCAGTCTTATAATACTGCACTGTTTTGTATGATTCCTTGTCCTTCTGACTTGTGCTTCTCCTTCATAGCTCATTGTGAGAACTATGGAGCCATACCTTCCCACCTCACTCATGTTTCCCAACAATGATCACAACTAGTACTCTAAAAGAATCTTGGATTCTCCACATGCTTTTTAGACATAAGTCGCACTGGAGATATTGTCAGACCACTGGAAATCCCTATTATAACGCCCTCCAGTTACTCCTGAAGCACTGGATATGTCAGAACTCTCTGAAAAACATCTGACCCATTATAAGATTCTTATTTCACTTACGAGAAGTTTTTTAATTTATTGTCCTCTACTTATCTCAAGAAATAACAAGGAAATCTAAGGGAACCAAAAATTCCTTTAAAATTAAACTATCTTGTAATGCAGGACAGGAACCTTTGTGCACAATCATTTTGGATTCTTACTCTAATATCTAAGTGCAAATATCTTTTACTGGTCTATTTATCCATCAAACTGTATATTTATTTGTCTAATTCTAACATGACTTTGACAGTGAATTAATCTTTGCCGATTGCTTTTGTGAAGAACGTGAGGAGCCAGCCATTTGAGGAAACAGGAGCTTAAAACGGCCATCATTAGACAACACCAATTGCAGACCTACAGGAATTGCTGCCACTCATTATGGTCCTAGGACACTGCATCTTATTTTGTGTATTTTCCATTTAAAAATCTTATCTACTCTCCCTGATGGTTTCTACCATGGACTGAGTGCTACTACACTGCTTGATCAATCAATCTCCTTCTTACCCTTTGTGGGGCTACATAGAAAGTTTTCTGAAGAAACCATCATTGCCATAAGTTTCTCTAGAGCAGTTCATGTAGGTTCTCAAGTATGCTGGAACACCTTGGAGACCTTAAAAGCCACACTCATGTTCCAAAAGGCACCTAACTCAAACTTTTCCTCCTGATTAAAATTGTTCTACCTTTTATTTTACTTATACTACCTGCTGTTCTGTTCTATGTGTCTGCGTACTTGTGTACAGGTAAGCAAAGGGCCACATACACATTTGGTGTTGTATTTGAATAATAGTATCACTTATCATTATTTTTAATTTTTAAATTATGTCTGCATTTTTAAAACTTCTTATGCCTATTCTATACCACTGACTTCATAAAATCTCAAATATAAACATTTGTAGAATAATTGCAAATCAATTTTAATGTTTGATTCTAAGTAACAACATGATTATGCCACAGCACATACATAGTCGTTGGTCAAATGCCCAGATATTGTTATAAAGATATATTTTAAAAGTGATTTACATTAAATGAAGACTTTAAGAAAACAGATTCTTCTCCATGATGTAGGGTGAGCTTCCTCTAGTCAGCTGAATTCCATAAGGGAAAAAGACTGAGGTTTTCTGAGGAGATGACAATTTTCCAGTACCCTGCCTTAAAGCTTCTACTATATCTACTGGGTCTCCAACCTGCCATCTTGTCCTGCAGATTTGGTCTTGGAAGCCAAGACCTTACAATCATGGTAGCCAATTCCTTAAAATAACTATTTTCTTTCTTTTAACCTTTCATGATATAAACATCTTGTCATTTTTTTTTCTTTCTAGAACCCTATTATGCCAAATATGAATACCTGAACAATTTGTGTTTTACGTGTATACTCTTGAAAAGGTAAATAGAATAGAAATACTTAAAAGAAAATAAATAAGTAAAAGATCCTAGAAAATTTAAAGTTGAAAATAGATTCAATTAATTAATTGTAATTACAAAGAAGAGAGTAGTACAAACAGATTAGTGGGCAATTTTTTTATAGCATTATCTTACCACTAGTATCAACTGGGCTATTTCAGTGGAATTTAATTTGCTATAAGCTCTCTAATTAACTGGCTGAAAATTCTGAGAAACATGATGACATTAACACATGTCACTTATTTCAACAAACATGAACTACTTGTAATATAAAGAATAAAAGACTGAAACGAATCACCCTAGGCCATTTGCAGGAAAGATTTTGTGGTTCAGGTATTCAGATAATACTTACTTACATTTGGAAAACAAAAATGTTTCTTGGGACAAATGCAGACAAATCCTTTTGAAGCCTTGCCTTTCCCTTCCCACTAACAGATTTATTTTTACAATCCTGTCAGGCTCTGTAAGGAGGCGCACACAGCCACAACAAGCAAAGAGCTGTGGAGCTTGTGTCTGGATTTTCTCTGGCTTGATTTTTCAAAAGTGGTTGAACTGCTTGAACACAGAGGACTAGCTTATCAAAGTCTGATTTTGGATGCACATATGGTCCTCTTGTTCTACAGGAAATGTTTCTATTTGAGTACATTTCCCCTTGTGCAGAGCTTTTATTTGATGTGACTAGCGTGACTAGCATACAGTAATTATTTCTTCATGATGAAGAAATGCTATCTGAAGCTGTGACGATCTTCAGATGAGCTTAGATCTAGTTTTCTATTACCCACTGGCTGTACATTACTTTATAGAGTGAAAAGACATCATCTCCATCCATAGTGACACACTCTCTCTGAAAACAAAGTCTAAAAAGAGTGCCATGGCCACACTGATTGTTTGGAGTCCCAGATAAATGAAGAAAACTGCATGTGGGTTTCAGAGATTTTAGTGCAAGTAGAAGAAAGCAACATAGACTAAAGAATAAAATAAAATGTTCAGATTCGATCACCAGATCATTGGTTTGAGAAGGTTTTATGTTAGCTGGTATAGACAAATTAATAAACAAATATTTTAAAAAATTTAAACAATTGTTTCTATTGCCACTGCCTGTACACCATAAGGTACCTACCACTTATACATCCAAACCTAAACCTTGTCAGAGCATTCATTTTAACATATTTAATTTTTATATTTTCTTTAGAGTTGTAAACTATTAAAAGTAATGATTTTGTTAATTTGACAACTGTAACGACCAAACTGAACATAGCTAATATATGTGTAAATGGGCTGTCTACTTTTTTTTATATATTTTTTTAAAAATGTATAAAGATGTGAAATGAGAATAAACTTTAATCGGTAAGAAGTTTTTATATAGAATACATTCATTATATCTAATTCAGAAATATATTTTAAAACAAATTCTCATAGTGTCTTTAAAAATTATGTTGCATCTCACTGACATCTTGAGGTATCTTCTACCAGCCATTTCCACGAGCAGTGAGGAAGAGGGTGACTGACTCAAGAACTGGTAGGAAAATGGGTTAAGTTTAGATCTATCTACTTAACGAGTGACATCTGCTTGATGGAAGGATAGCCTCTTCCCTTCTATTTCTTTCTGTCTCCCAAATCTTTTTTTAATAATAATAATAATTGCTATTATTATTATTATTATTATTATTATTATTATTATTATTATTTTGTAGTTGTGAGTGGACAGAATGATTTTATTTTTATGTGGTGCTAAGAATTGAACCCAGTGCCTCACACATGCTAAGCAATCACTCTGCCACTGAGCTAAACCCCCAGCCCTCTGTGTTCCAGATCTTGAATGAGCCTGCACTGGGAAACTCTAATTCAGACCTCACATAGATATGAGAGGATGGGAAAGGTATTGCTTACATTCTTCTCAGGATATTTAAGTGACTTAGAAGACCCTTCTGGCATTGCAGGCCAACAGGAGACTCAGAATTCATAACTTCATCCAACATGTCTCTATGCATAAATTTCACCCATATTCAAGCTTCCTCAATATGATGATAAACATTCACTGCATCCATCAAATATAGTGGTTAAATAAATATTATTCATACAAAACAAGACTGATTCATAGAAGAATGAAACGTGCAATTGCATGTCAAAATTTAGCCATCCTGCAGGAATGTTTATAATTTATATATCACAAAACTCATTCAAACTCTGCCACTAATTCATTAAATGATGTTTAATAAAAAATATAAACAGGCTTAACCACTATTAATAAAACCATTCTAGTTAATAGAGGGGGAAGAATAAGGAAAAATATTTGCAAAGACTATTTAAAGGTTTCAAATATGAAAGCTATTTAAGTCGTTCAATTTTCATTTTCTTATAACTTTTACAACAGCTCACATGGTTGATTTTTGCTATTCATAATTTTTTTCCTCTGCTACTGGTTTCATGTTTGTTTTACCTTTTTACACAATTCACCTGCCAGGTAAAGAACTGTGAACCACACTTCAATTATCCAAGTCTACAGTATTACTTATCCATTTTCTTCCAGACATGAAAGTCTTCTCTGTGTTCTCAGCCTCTTTTCCAATTTAAGGCCCCCAATTTTTTTTTAGTAACATTTGAGGAACATACCCTAACTCTTATCCTAGAGTATTCTTTCCGATGGTAATGATAATATTCTCAATTTGTTTCTTGTTCAATCTTTTACACTTTCCCTGAACATTCTTTCTAAAATCATGCCCTCATACACACAGTCCTCTCTGAAAGTATGATATTCACCGTGGGTTGAATGGCAGTCTCCAAAAAGATATGTAAACTTCCTTATCCCCAGGATCTATGGCTATGCAATTTATTTTGAGGAATCTTTCTACATCATGCACAAGAGAATGAGAAATTATATTACATTATATATGATGTATCAAAGTGTATTCTACTGTCATTTATAAGTTATTTAAACAAAGTTTAAAAAATAATTTTCAGATTAGATTATATGGGGTTATCTGGATTATCCCTAAATTGACAAGTATCATTGTAGGAGATAAACACATAGGAGCAGTATAGAGAAGAGCAGGCCACATGATGGTGGAGGCTGAGAAGTAGAGGCTGCCGCCCAATCCCAAGGAGTGCTTGGAACCCCAGGAAGAAGAAAGAGAAGAGAGAGCATTCTCTCCCAGAAACTCTGGAAGAAGCATGACAACTTCTCACCTCTAGACTAGTGGAATAATTAATTTCTGTTTTTTTTTTAAGTGACAGATTTGCACTAATTTGTTATGGAAGCCCACAGGAAAGTAATACACTATTTCTTTCTTTTTTCATCACATCATACAAAACTTCCTCTATTTACTTTTTCAATTTTTCTGACTATCCTCTTTGATCTCTTCTCAGTGAAAGCCATATCCTCTCTACATGACACAATTTAACATAGAATAGATTAAATATATATCTCTTTTCTTTATTAATATTGATTTATATTTACAAAAATGTTGCAAATTTATAATTATAAATTAGATTAAGAAACATGATTATTCTTCCCTTAAGATAACCAATTTTCTGACTTCTAACACGATAGACTCATTTGGAATGTTCCCATTTTATAGGTACAGAAACCAAAGCTGTGTCCTCTTGACCCAATCTCTGTGTGTGGTGAACTTTCGTCTATTTTTAGGGTACCAGCAAGGGCAAGAACTTATTCACTGGATTTATCCTGTAGTTTAATCAGTGGGAGTGGGCAGGGGAAAGTGTGCATATTTTTAATAAATTATTGTCAAAATAGCTCAGTTGCAAAGTTGTTAAGAGTGAAACTCAAAGACCTCTACTTTGTTTTCAGATTTCATAGAGATTCTTATATCAGTCCTTGCTTCTTAGTCTCCATAATTTCAACCTAATTATCCATATCTCCTTAGCCCTCTTGATCACATGGTACACATAAAAGCTCTAACAGCTTTAATGAATATTAATAACTTGATAAGGTTATTAAAATGTGATTATATTTCCCATTAATGTTATAATTTTTAAACAAGATACATGCCAGAGAGAAGATGAAATGCCTTGAATTATGTCTGATGCATATGTGCATGCTTTATATTCTAAAAATTCAAGCTAGTTCTTAATGTACTTGTAAATAATTTCAATGCATAGTTTTCTAGCTACCCAATATTGAATATTATATTAAATTTTATTTGATCAATAATTTTGAAGCAAATAAACTTCACATGATAAAACAAGAATCTAAACCTACTGTTTTAACATTAAT